AAAGGAGCGCCAAGAAAACATTTGAACAAGCTTTTATGTAGAAATTAAACTGCATTCCTCCACTAAAAGTTGGCCTGGGAGCTTTAGCCACCCATATTGACAGCAGGATCTAAGTTTGAGAGTGCTGGAGAGTCCTAGAGGGCATGTGGGAATTTATAGGGGGTGTTTTTGGTTATCACAGTGTTGGGAGAAGGGACTATGCTACTGTCATTAGGATCAGGTAAAATTCAGACATCCTGCAATTTTTAACAAGAAATTTCACAAAAGCCCAGCTGTTTAGAAGGTCATCACAGAGAGAGAGGCTTAAATGGAATAGAGACATTGTCTTGATCTTATAAAAGAACATACTTTGCACAATGTCTACTTAATATATTCTAGTACTTCACAAACAATGTAACCAGTTGCAAATATAATAGGATATTGGAGATTCATTTTAATAGAGGTAGAAACACTAAATGACAGGGGCACATGAAATTTAGAAATCTTACTGGATTTCATTAACAAAGGTTGTTTTAAACTACTTACTATTTCCATCCTATACTTTACAATTTCTTTTTTTGGCACAATGAGACATGTTATGAAAATTTCTTATTTGGGGGTGATGGGTTTTTCCCCATTTTATTCTGATGCTAATCTCATAGATGCACCCCAGGACTCCTCTACAGCCTGTTATAAATCTACAGAGGCCTGGTGCATGGATTCATTCACCATTGAGGTTCCCTCAGCGGGGCTTGCGCCCTCTCGCAATCCGGGACCCCTCGGGGGATGTTAGACTGCCGGTTTTGGCCTGATCCCCGCAGTCCAGGCCGAGGGATCCCACCGGTGCATGAATTTGTGCACTGGGCCTCTAGTGTGCATATAAGATCTTTGGTTAATCTCTTCCTGCCCTCCCACTCCCCCCCCTTCCCTCTGAGACTCATCAGTCTGTTCCATACTTCCATGCCTGTGCGTTGAGCGTCTGCCCCCTGGTGATCAGTGTATGTCGTAGCTACTGGTCAAACGGTCAAATGGTTGCTTAGGCTTTTATATATATAGATCCTTTGAGATCGCCTGTTATTAAAGGATAGGGTCTCCAAGGTTTGTGTGTGTGTGTGTGTTTAAGTATTAGAGACTGAATTTATGCCTTACTCGGTGAAATTTCAAAATAGAAAATATGTTTTCTGTGATACTTTGTCATCATCTGTATCCTATCTCATAGCAAAACAGGAAATTGTTTAAAAAGAAAAAGTCCAGCTTATTTTTGAGATCACATGCTCCTATTTTCATATCCAATTTCTCCGTATTTTTTTAATTTTAAAAGTGAATAATCTCTTTCCAGGTTTCCCCCTTCTATTAGAAGTATTTCCCTCTTTTGCTTATCATAAACAAATCAGTCTAGCCTGTTCTTACTTATTTTAATGCAGTTCCTTAAAATGTGGAATTCACCTGTATCTCTGCTCCCTTATATTCCTACACTCTTGTAATGTGTAACTTACATTCATTACTAGTATTTTATCTGCAAAGGGAAGAAAGGAAAAAATGATGGAGTCGAGAAATTCCAAGTAGGGAAATGTTTTGGGTCGTAGGGGGAGTACAATTGAGTTGACAGTGGATGTGTAAAAGGACAATCAGTGGAAATTGGGCACCATGAATTTCCACTGGTGATGGTCACCCTGGTTACATGACTCTCCATGACAATGGGCTGCTCAGAAACAGAGAAATCAAAAATGAGGGGACGAGGGCTGATGATAGGCATGGTAAACCTGGTCATGTCACTCCTCTGCTTATAATCCTTCAAAGGTTTTCCATTCCTTAACGTGACCTTCAAGAGCCTCCACCATCTGGCACTGCCTATTTCTCCAGCCTCTTCTTGTACCATTTTTCCCTTGGCTTTCAAAGTCCCATCACCCTGGCCAATTTCTTCCCTCTTCGTGAGTTTTGCATATACCATTCCTTTCATCTGTCATCCCTTACTCCCACCACCGACCCTTTGCTTCAGCTTAAAAATTACTTCCTCAGAGAAGCCTTTGCTGACCAATCAGAACACTCTATCACTATAGTGTCTCAACATGTGCTTTACTTGTCTTTTTTTTTTTTTTTCTATAGTGTCTCAACATGTGCTTTACTTGTCTTTTTTTAAAAAAAAAATATTTTTATTGTTGATAGTATTACAGATATCTCCCATCCCCCACTTTCTCCCCTACTTGTCTTTCAGCATGCATCACCATTACATATTTACTTTCCATACATGCAAATTGCTCCATGGAGGCAGGCACTTGGTCTATCTTTTTAAAATATACATTTTAATTGATTTCAGAGAGGAAGGGAGAGGGAGAGATAGAAACATCAATGATGAGAGAGAATCACTGATCAGCTGCCTCCTGCACGCCCCCTACAGGGGATTGAGCCTGCAACCTGGGCACGTGCCCTTGACCGGAATTGAACCTGGGACCCTTGAGTCCACAGGCCGACACTGTATCCACTGAACCAAACCAGCTAGGGTGGTCTATTTGATGATTGATCAATTCCTAGCATCTAGCCTAGTGCTTATCACCAGCAGGTGAATGAATGGCAGGAAAAGTTAGCTATCGGACCTTGGGCAAATTTTGTTTCATTTTTAACTACATCTCCATTTTCTTATCTGTTAATAGGGGTAATGATAATAACTATCAACCTCAGAATTGCCATGCAGGTTGAAAGAGACAATGCATGCTTTGCAGGGTGTCTGGCATGTAGTAAGGGCCAGGACATGTTAGTTGTTATTATTATGAACATTAAACGTAAGCTTGCTCAGCCAGCATGGCTCAGCATCGACCTAGGAATCAGGAGGTCAACCATTCGATTCCCGGTCAGGGCACATGCCTGGGTTGCAGGCTTGGTCCACAGTGGGGAGGCATGCAGGAGGCAGCCAATCAGTGATTCTCTATCACCACTGATGTTTCTATTTCTCCCTTTCCCTTCCTCTCTGAAATCAATAAAAAATATTATTTTTAAAAAAAACCCACATAAGATCTGTGAGCAACCAGAACTCTCATACACTGCTGGTAGCAACGCAAAAAATAATACAGCCACTTTGGAAAACATTTACCAGTTTCTTATAAAGTTACACACACACTTACCACACAATCCAGCAATCCCACTTCTAGGTATACACCCAAGTGAAATGAAAACTTATGGACACAAAAACCTGCACATGAATATGTATAGCAGCTTTATTCCTCATCACTCAAAACTGGAAACAACCCTAACATCCTCCAACCAGGGAATGTATAAGCCCATTGTTGCATAGCCATGTAAGTGGAAATACCACTCAGCAGGAATAAATGAACTACTGATACGTGTAACAGTATGATGAAACCCAATGCATTATGCTAGGCGAAAGAAGCCACTCAAATGGTGACATATGTTTCCATTTATATGGCATTCCAAACAAGTCAAATTATAGGGACAGAAATCAGGCCAGTGACTGCAGGGGAGGGGGTGAGGAATGAGGAAATGTGGATGGGAGGGATGATGGAATTATCATAGGACTTGCTTGTGATGGAAAAAAAAAAATCCAAGACAGGTGGATATAATTACATTTTTCTTTTCTTTTTCTTACAAATATATTTTATTGATTTTTTACAGAGAGGAAGGGAGAGGGATAGAGAGTTAGAAACATCGATGAGAGAGAAACATCGATCAGCTGCCTCCTGCACACTCCCTACTGGGGATGTGCCCGCAACCAAGGTACATGCCCTTGACTGGAATCGAACCCGGGACTCTTGAGTCCGCAGGCCGACGCTCTATCCACTGAGCCAAACCGGTTAGGGCTACATTTTTCTTTTTTATTTATTTTAGGGGGGGGCATTTATATTCCTGAATATAAAAGGACTTCAGGCTCATTGTAGACATTTTGGGAAAATGTTCAATGTACACTCCATCACCTGCAGAAAAGTACTATTTCTTTGCTATCATTTTTTTGTTTTTTGTTAATCCTCATCCACGGACATTTTTCCATTGATTTTCAGAGAGAGTGGAAGGGTGGGAGGGGGAGAGACAAAGAACGAGAGAAACACTGGATGTGAGACAAATCCATTGGTTACCTCCTGTACACATCCTGACCTGGGCAGGGGATTGAGCCGAGGTACGTGCCCTTGACAGGAATCGAAACCCGGACATTTCAATCCACAGGCTGATGCTCTATCCACCGAACCAACTGGCTAGGGATTTGCTATCATTTTTATAGGCATGAAATATACACATACAGACTGGGACAATGCTGTACATTTTTGCTTTCTGAAATATACATTTTGCTTTCTGAAATATTTTATGCACGTTTCCATGTCATTAAATAATTTTAAAAACTATGCTTTTATGAATCCATTGTATAGCTGATTTATATTTTAACCCTTCCTTTATTGTTAGAAATTATGCTGATCCCATCTTTTCTTTACTACAAGCTGATAAAATGAAATTTTAGAAAAATCTCAGAGGGGCCAGGCACTCTTCCATCACACGGTTTCACAATGTGTAACTGGTGAAACAGCTCTGCCTTTGGCTGCAATTCTCTCGTCGTTTTAAGTGTCTGGGGGAAGAGCGGTTCCACAGGGTGATTTGGCCTCTTTTTTCCGTGGTGCATGAGAAACAGGCACCCTCATACTACCTGTATTACTAGCTTAAATTTGCATGGTGCTTTTTATATGTAACCGTCCCCACATCCTTGCAGGCAAGCAGAGGGAGTGATGTGTTCAGGATCACACAGCCTATCAGTGGTGGAATGGGACTCAGACTCCAGCTGTTCAGAGTCTCAGGAAGTAAACAGTTCCCCTAGGAGGGGCACTACGACGCTGGACCTCCCCCTGCCCACGCTCACCCCAAGGAGCTGCAGACTCCCCCCGAAATCTCTGCCTGCAGGCCTGACACCAGGGGAACTTAACTCTGAACGTGGACACTGTCCCATCCGACATGTTGTCTTTGGCAACACTGCCACTTACCAGCTGGGGTCATTTCTCCCCCGATGGCAGGGGGCACCTACTGCCATTGACCAAGGGGGGGCCCTGGGAGCTTAAGGACCCCAGGCTTCGGGGCCCGAGGGAGTTGCTGTCGGTCGGTCGGTCGGTCGGTCGCCACGGTGCGAGGGCATATCCTCACCGGGGGGTCCTGCAGTGTCCGCGCCTTTCGGCGAGGGGACGAGGGCCCCCTCCTCGTCGGGTCAGGGCTGTCCAGGAAGAATCCGGGACGTGCCCGGCTCGCCTTCTCCGGGCACCCGGAGGTCAATCCTCCGCTATCCCAGAATGCCTCGCGTCCCGGAAGTGCCGCCTTCCCGGAAGTTCCCGGCTAGCTGGCCGAGCCGGAGCTCGCTGCAGCGCTGCCCGCTGCGGGGTACGGTTCTGCGGTTTGCGTGACCGCAGGAGGCCCGACCCGGGGTCCGCGTGTGCGTCCGGAGGGAGCTGGGCGGCGGGATGATGGAGGAGGAGGACCTGGAGTTCGTGGAGGAGCTGGAAGCGGTGCTGCAGCTCACGCCCGACGTGCAGCTCGCCATC